TTGGCTTTTCGCTGGGATTAATTCAAATATTTAAAAAACTAAATGATAGCAAAATGCATAGTCTATATTTACGTGAAGTCTCGTGAATTTAAGACAAGTGGATTAAATTTTACCGTGATCTAAAACTGAACTCATCCTCAAAACAAAATCCTTCCACTTCTACCCCATCGGTCTTGACATGGAGGATGCCATTTTAAAGCTCAGGTTTTCCTCTTTAAGATGTTCCGGAAGTCATGAGGAAATGTAGAAAATTTAGAAAATGTAACAAAATAGCGAGTGGTTTCGGACCCACCGAAAACGCGACGCATCACGACAGGGATAAAAAGTCAACTGGGTAGCGTGGTGGATTTTCTCGCACGAGCGTTCACGTTCATTGAACTACCTACTATGATACTATGAAAAGCCGTTACGTATTCATTTTCAGGAGTACCCCTTAAGCACTGTTGGTGAGGTCGTGCAAGTTTTTTCTTATGCCTTGAAAACAGAAAAAAGTCACACGGAGTAAGACCAGGCTAGTGAAAGTGATCTTCAACTTTGAAGCCGTTTATTTCCCCCGAAAAATTATGTCATGGCTGATTTGTGGGCAGGGGCATTATTGTGGAGTATTTTGATCCCGTGTGTGCCGGCTCGAGAGCAGCTTTTCGTATTGCGGGCAGTAAGCGTTATGAGTACTGTTTCCATAGATCTAGAAGTCACTCTGACGTTTATTTGCTCTTTGCAGGGGATTTGGAGAATCCTATGCTTTGCACTGAAAAAAAAAAGTGGTGTACAAAGCCTTTGTGGACTTGTTTTATAGTATAATTTTCGGGGTTCGGATCCTTTAGGGCACCATGGCATGTTTTGTGACTTCCGGTTTGGCTCAAAGAAATACACATGCATTTCATCACCAGTGAGGTTCTCAGTCTGGCGCCAGGGGTCGCTATTCTTGTACCTATTTGGAAGTTTGATAGCATATATTAACCATAACCCTTTATTTTCAATGGTCAAGATATGGGGTATAAACCTTGAATTGCAAGGGGTCCTTCTGTTTACACATTGCATTATCAATGTAAATTTTATTCTCAAGAATGTTGTTGTTTTTCGTAGAGGAATTTCATTGGTTTTGGGGTTGTAAAGGCTTGTATGCATGCCTGTAGGATCTCAGGTAGTAGTGTCTTATCCTGACACTGGCTTGTACCCAAACATCTTGTCACCAGAGAACAAAGGTACAATGTTCACTGTACTGTTTTCCATCAACCTTCACAGGGATTTCTTAGATAGTAGACAATCATAGTCATAGGGGGTGTGGGCACACTCTAGTTCTTAGAGATGGGAGCCACAAAGTGCGACAAATGACCTTCCACAGCAAGTCGTCTACATCACCAAGCGTGGCTTGCGTTTGCCCAATCCCCGCCACCTGCTGTCTCCTGGCTATCTGCTGATAACATTTCCGTTTATGGAGCAGAATAATCCAAGGGATGGCCAAATCTACTCAGAGAGATCTACTTTGTTGGTGATGTCATCTATTTCCAGGCAGCCTATTACTTACTGCTACCAGGCCTTCTGGATCTGCAGAGACATCTCATAATAAGTCATCAAGCAGTCTGGGTACCATGCCCCTTCTGTAGAGCTCCCACGAGAGGGAGGGAAGAAGATATCGACAGTGAGTTCCTGAATGAACATGTCAGCCTGCTGTGACCCCACCCCTGCCATAATGGTGGATGTGTACGGATCCTTCAATGAGCCAAAGGGTCGTAGCTCACATCGCCCCTCGCAGGGCTATGGTACCTCCTGGCCAGAGCTCCGTCTGCAACCCCTGAACGGCCATCTGTATAAGAATATCACCTGTACAAACAGACACTTCCCATTTTTCCCCCTGCGTTATTTCTAAAAAAATAGAATGACACTGTGTAAGATGGACCCTTTTTCTCTTTGACAATTAGTAGCCGTCTTTGACAATTTTGACTGTAATTTGTCATTCAATGTTTTTTTAAATTTGTGCTTTTGCGTCAGTCTGAAGCTGTTCCCTCATTACCATTATCATGAAGAATCTATAGTTGATGAACAGGTACTGTTTAGTATTGTGTGTAACACTACTATTTATGACATTTTTTATGTCAGTCTTAGAATTTCACAAACATTTTGTATTTCTTATATTTTCAGGATATTCTTCATCTGAAGTATGACATAAGTGAACAGTGACCAGTTGCAGCTTGTGCTCAGTTGTTGAAGTATTCTACAGTATGCAATCCCCCAAGATGTTACATCACAGACTACTTTGAATGCATTCCAGCTCAGACCTCCTAAACATGTTATATTTTTTTAGGGAACAGTGATCAGTAAGTGATTACTGGGTAAAGATAAGTTGTTTTTATATGCTGCCCCTTTGCTATGGCAGGTTTAGATCACTTTTTTCCTTGGGAACAAAATTGTACAGTAGCATCTTTGTGTTTTGGTGAGCTGGATAGGTTTTCCTGGGTGTCATCTCCCCTGAGTGATGTGCATAAGAAGGCTGATTTAGAAGCAATTGATAAATTTTAAAAAGAATACTTTTTTTTTTCGGTCTAATTATGCCCAACTCACTTTCTTGGTCTAGTGGTGCACGTCTTAGTTGATACTTATTGAAATTGCCAAGAGAAGTCCAAATATGTGATGGGTTTTCTAAAATAAGATTTTCAGTATTAGTTCAGTGAGAGGTTGTGTCTGTTTATTTTGACTTATACTGCCACCTTACGTCCATCTATTATATTAGAAGCCATTCATGGAGCTAACATACCCAGTGATTTTCAAGAGTGCTTTTGTTTTTGCCTACACTACATCAACTGTATGTGGGTGTTCTCCACTCATTCAGCTTTTTTAGAAGAGATTCGCCAAATGATCTGAATTGCCACTTTTGGGTTGAAAGCACCCATATGCCTTTATAAAATATCACCCAGTCTCCAAATGGTACAGATTATGCAACTTGTATTAAACTCAAGTCTGAAAACCTTCCCACTTGGAGGTCAGACCTATGAATAGACAGTTCAGTGTAAATTTCAAATTGCTTGTATATTTACAAAAATAGGCTCAAAGGTCTTGCCCTCCCGATAAGCATGCTTTTTTAATTGTGTAAGTATTTTAAGTCATTAAAAAGTTATGAACATTTTTGTGATCGAAATTTTGCCTTGAAATGGTCCATTTTTTGGCTCTGATTTTTGTGCCCAATTTCGATGCCCAATCAACAGATTGCTATGTGGGCCTATTAGCAAATTTTACAATACATCTTTTAAAAACATTGGTCTCTAATTTAACCCCGAAGAAGCATATATAAATCAATAAATATCGAGAACAAAAATTTATTTTGAATAAATGAAGAGGAAAAAAGTCATAGACACAAATAAAATCTATTATGCAAGGGCTCAAGCTTGAATGACCAATGTTGTACTGGAGATAAAGCCAAACCAAACCGTATGTCATAAGTAAAAATTCATAGTATGACAGTGATCAAGACATCTTTCCGTTTAAAGGAAGGCAATGTTGCTCAGAATAATATCAGCAAAAATAGAGCAAACAGCGTGGGGGGGGGGGTCATGGGTTTCTTGTTTGGGGTACCTATTTTCGCAAACATCTTTGGCTTTTCGCTGGGATTAATTCAAATATTTAAAAAACTAAATGATAGCAAAATGCATAGTCTATATTTACGTGAAGTCTCGTGAATTTAAGACAAGTGGATTAAATTTTACCGTGATCTAAAACTGAACTCATCCTCAAAACAAAATCCTTCCACTTCTACCCCATCGGTCTTGACATGGAGGATGCCATTTTAAAGCTCAGGTTTTCCTCTTTAAGATGTTCCGGAAGTCATGAGGAAATGTAGAAAATTTAGAAAATGTAACAAAATAGCGAGTGGTTTCGGACCCACCGAAAACGCGACGCATCACGACAGGGATAAAAAGTCAACTGGGTAGCGTGGTGGATTTTCTCGCACGAGCGTTCACGTTCATTGAACTACCTACTATGATACTATGAAAAGCCGTTACGTATTCATTTTCAGGAATACCCCTTAAGCACTGTTGGTGAGGTCGTGCAAGTTTTTTCTTATGCCTTGAAAACAGAAAAAAGTCACACGGAGTAAGACCAGGCTAGTGAAAGTGATCTTCAACTTTGAAGCCGTTTATTTCCCCCGAAAAATTATGTCATGGCTGATTTGTGGGCAGGGGCATTATTGTGGAGTATTTTGATCCCGTGTGTGCCGGCTCGAGAGCAGCTTTTCGTATTGCGGGCAGTAAGCGTTATGAGTACTCTTTCCATAGATCTAGAAGTCACTCTGACGTTTATTTGCTCTTTGCAGGGGATTTGGAGAATCCTATGCTTTGCACTGAAAAAAAAAAGTGGTGTACAAAGCCTTTGTGGACTTGTTTTATAGTATAATTTTCGGGGTTCGGATCCTTTAGGGCACCATGGCATGTTTTGTGACTTCCGGTTTGGCTCAAAGAAATACACATGCATTTCATCACCAGTGAGGTTCTCAGTCTGGCGCCAGGGGTCGCTATTCTTGTACCTATTTGGAAGTTTGATAGCATATATTAACCATAACCCTTTATTTTCAATGGTCAAGATATGGGGTATAAACCTTGAATTGCAAGGGGTCCTTCTGTTTACACATTGCATTATCAATGTAAATTTTATTCTCAAGAATGTTGTTGTTTTTCGTAGAGGAATTTCATTGGTTTTGGGGTTGTAAAGGCTTGTATGCATGCCTGTAGGATCTCAGGTAGTAGTGTCTTATCCTGACACTGGCTTGTACCCAAACATCTTGTCACCAGAGAACAAAGGTACAATGTTCACTGTCCTGTTTTCCATCAACCTTCAGGGGTATTTCTTAGATAGTAGACAATCATAGTCATAGGGGGTGTGGGCACACTCTAGTTCTTAGAGATGAGAGCCACAAAGTGCAACAAATGACCTTCCACAGCAAGTCGTCTACATCACCAAGCGTGGCTTGCGTTTGCCCAATCCCCGCCACCTGCTGTCTCCTGGCTATCTGCTGATAACATTTCCGTTTATGGAGCAGAATAATCCAAGGGATGGCCAAATCTACTCAGAGAGATCTACTTTGTTGGTGATGTCATCTATTTCCAGGCAGCCTATTACTTACTGCTACCAGGCCTTCTGGATCTGCAGAGACATCTCATAATAAGTCATCAGGCAGTCTGGGTACCATGCCCCTTCTGTAGAGCTCCCACGAGAGGGAGGGAAGAAGATATCGACAGTGAGTTCCTGAATGAACATGTCAGCCTGCTGTGACACCAGACCTGCCATAATGGTGGATGTGTACGGATCCTTCAATGAGCCAAAGGGTCGTAGCTCACATCGCCCCTCGCAGGGCTATGGTACCTCCTGGCCAGAGCTCCGTCTGCAACCCCTGCTCCGATGCCTTTCCCCCTTTCCACAGAGCAGGGGTCCTCAGGCTGCTCGACGAGGAAGGGGAGTTGACTTAGTTGAGGCTTGCTTGCCAGAGAGCGTCTGGGGTTTCTCCCTCAACCTTTACAGCCCTCTCAAGAATGTTGTGTTCCTGTAATACTTTCCTCAAATGCCCGCAGTAGAATCATAGTTTGTGAAGAGGAGCATGGTCTTCATGCGCAAAAGATGTATGGTGTCACTGAGCTGGAATGCTGGTAAAATTTGTTGAAATCAATTCCCAGACATTATCAGATTTGCAAATGGTGAGGAGTGAAATGTGTTTGTGTTTCAATTTTTGTCAATTTCAAGTTTTTTCACAACTGTTATGTGAATTTGGAGCAGCAAAAAGCTCTCATCTCTTCTTTACCCCTGCTTGTTCACTGTACTGTTTTCCATCAACCTTCACAGGGATTTCTTAGATAGTAGACAATCACAGGAGGTGTAGGCCCGCTCTAGTTCATAGAGATGGGAGCCACAAAGTGCGACCAGTGATTATCTGAGCAATTGTCTTTGCAAATCTGATAATGTCTGGGAATTGATTTCAACAAATTTTACTAGCATTCCAGTTCAGCTTCTGCTTGCTCCTAGTGCTTAGTCTCTTTTGTCCCAACTTTTTATTATTTAGACAAACTGAGGCTCATAAAAGTGGGTTCTTCGTGCCCCAGTGTTCTGCTCCACCAGTACAAGGACTGGCCACATCCACTCTCTTTCTTGTGACAAATACATGCTAAGGGCACTTTAACCATATTTGAGAGGCAAAACTTTCTCATCTTTGTTTTGTGTCATGCCCTTTAGGCATTTTTTCATGAGTCGTCATGAGTGAGATGCCCATATGCTAGTCTGATTTAGGACTTACCTGTGTCACTCAGCTTTTTGGTGACCTTACCTTTGTGGGAGAGTGGTAGGGAGACCCCAGCTAGGTGCCCTGTTGAAGAAGCACCAGTTGTCTTCCTGTAAAGGACACTTGCTGTGCTGTGACACTTTGTCTGAGTTGGTGCTGGGCAACAATCCTGCCTTGAAGCCATCCTGCATTTCCTGAGGAGACCAGTTCAGCGTTCGTAAAGCTTTCGTGTAATGGTGTTCGCTACGCCCTATTCCTGTTTTCTTCCATGTCGAAAGAAAAAAGGGAGAAGGTAGAGCAATCATTAGTCTTGCTTCCAAACCAACCTGCCATGTATATGACCTTAATTGTGTAGGTTGGGTCGGGAAACATGTACCAGTACAATATATTTAATAACTTGACAATACAGCAATATGGCACGAAGTCATTTATTAGGCCAGTCAAAGCACACGTCATAATGGCAAGTCCATGATTTGAGGTTGGCTATTTTTGTGCCACGTTTCATCAAAGGTGTCGGGAATATCGTCCAGCTCATACAGCTCTCTTATAATAGTACTGGCCCTGTCTTTCAGAAAGCTGCTAGTTTTTATGGCACTGCCGTGCACCAGCTGTTTTTTTGTAGGTGAGTTCTTTGATGAACGCACAGCAACTTCCAACACTTCACTAAACCAAGAGATCTGCCCACATCCACTTGAGAGTTGCAGTTACCACTGCCTAATTCACCTCATATTCCTGTGCAGACAGTTTTCATGAGGTGTCTGCTTCACCATCAACTTCCCCTCAGGCTGGGCTAACTGTCCTCTAGACAACATCAAGACCACGGCTCCTCCGGGTCTGCCCCAACTTTACTGTCTTGTCTACACATTATCCATAAGCCAGTTTGGTGAAGGCAGCTTTGAAGTTCCCTCATGTGTAATATCATGGTTGGCAGTTTCTCCTCGTCAGCAAACGTGTCACGTATCAGTGAGTTCCAGCTTTTGTCTCGGCGGTAGTGGCACATGCAAGTTGTCCAGCTTGACTGGGACTGTATTCCTGGCATTTCACTTTTACAACACGAGCCCTTGCAAGCACATTGAATATAGTAAACTTCGATTCACTTTACAAAATGTCTGTGGTGTAGTGGTTAGGTGCTTTGCTGTTGCAAGCAGGAGACGAGAGTGAGAAGAAATTTTGATTGATTGTCTTGTTCTTTCTGCTGAGATGTTTTATCCCTCTCAGCGGGGGTTGGCCCCGAAGAAAAGCGGGGTCGGAAACCCACCTCCTAAAATATGTCGATGGAGGCATAAAAGCACCTTCATTTTAAACAAATTTCTTTGAGGGTTGCTTTACTGAAGGCATGTGGCAAAACTGATGGGCTTTAACTCCTGATGAGAGACAACAGTCTCACTTCAGAGGCCCCATTAGAGCACCTTGTTGCAGTCGCTGAAGCGGAGTGACAACTTCATGCGGCAGGACTGTTTTGTATGTTATTGAATGGTTGGACTGGTTCGGATGTTATCAAAACTTTTTCTGACATACACTGGTATAGATTTCATGTAAATAGAAATTGTTTCTTACTTAAGACTGTGGTCCCATCTTGGACAAAGGCCACCGACAAGAGCTCTCCGAGAATCCCACAAGGGTGTTTTCCATCTACATGTGGCACACAGACATGTTCTTTATTTTCAGCTTTTTAAAAGTCGCATGAGTGTCAGGGCATATCACAAGAGGTTTGGTGTAGTGTAAGGCTATTTACAAAAAAATTATTAGTAGAATATGTAAAAAATGAAGATGCTCTTTTCATTTCTTAGATTATCTTCATTTTGTTGATCCATGTGGGTATTTTTCCTGCGGAAAGTCTTAAATGGAAAGAAGCGAATGTCAGAAAACATCAGTTGTAAAATAAGGTTCTCCTAAAAATGAAGCTGCCCTTTCAAGTTTGGTTACTAAACAGTACAGATGCAGTTTTTCAGTACTTTTTGGGGGAAGAGAAGAAGCAGTATAGCAGCGGTGTTTTTATTTTGATTTTACTTCACTATAGTAAACAGTTGCCTGACGCATTAGGGGTATACAAGTTCAATTCTATA